ACCCAAACCACTCTGGGATTCTATGATTCTGTGATCTCTCAAACTGAGCACGAACCTGCCGGGTACATGTCAGCAGGGAGAACGTCCTTCCCAAAATCACCCGGCCAGCATTTCCCTTTCTGGATTTCAATGTTAGTGAGAAGAACATGAAACCCTCTTCCCTTGGCAGAGACAGGGACCTGCAGACAAGCTGGATTTGCTCCCTGGGTCACAACACCCAGAGTTCAGCTCCCATCTGCTCCACCTGAGTTCTCTGCTGTGTCACTGACACAAATGTCCAAGTTCCTCTAAGCCTTTTTTTTTTTCAGTAAAATCCTTAATTTTTGGTCTTTCTTCACTGCATTTGGCTTTCTGTTTAAAGAAAGTAACCTGTGATCTGCACTGCTGGTGCAGCCAGTGAGATACATTCATTGTTAAGCACGATGGGTGGCTCTATTTGGTACTTCTGAGCAGAAACAGGGTGATTCCTCCCCAAAACCCCTCGAGTCAGGTCATTTGAAGGCGCTGACATCGGTAACAGCCTGACCACCACAGCCAGCTGCAAGGTAAGGAAGGAAACGGGGCAGGTAGGGAGGAGAAGACCGTTCCTAGGACAGAAAGAACCTATTTTCCTCTCTATGAGTAGAACTTTGATTTCTCTTGGTGTATTAAAGCTGCAAGGCAACGAAGGGACAAGGTCCTTATCCCAAACCTCATGTGCTGCTCAAACAACCCTCCTAGCTGGGGAACCTCAACGTCACCAACTGCACGTAGAGGCGTTGGAGTGTATTCACGGGGATGAAAGACACTTACTTTCAGACCAATGAACCAGAAAGGCTGGAGGATTTTTTTTTTTTCTCATTCTCTCTCATTTTTTTTTGTTGTTTTTATGTTAATCTGAAAGGACTCTGGCTTCTCTCTGAACTGGATCTACAAATGTCTTACCACCAAAATGCAAAAAAAAAACAAAAAACCCCAAACAAACCAAAAAACAATCGTGTGGGTGGAAATATGACCAAAAAATAGTTTTCCTCTAAGATAATCTGATAAATCTCATCGTCCTCTAGAAAGGCAACATCGTCCACCAAGTGCTACTTAGCACCCAGAGTGCTCTTTGACCGCAGCAGATACCGATCCACTCTGACTTTCCGCCTATCCACTGTCCTATTCTCACTGTCAAAAATCCTCTGCAGATGTAGGGCCAACCTCCTGTCCTCCTCCTCTTGTTGGAGCTTCTGCTCCATCTCTCGTACCAAGCGATCCTCCGGAGGGAAACCCACCTCCCCTGCCGCGTGCCTCAGTCTTTTAACGGAACCGTTGTGCTCCAAGTGCTTCGTTTTGCAGCGTCTTTTCCGTCCCCGTCTCAGCGACGGGGGCTGTTCCCCGATGATGTTCTCAACCGAGTTGCAGGTGCTGTTCTGCACGTTGATCAACTCGCTGTTGTTCAGGTATTTCAGCTGCTTTTTACCCGATGTCTTAATGGGAATTCCCAACGTGCTGTTGTCAGGTAGCGACGTGCTGACACTCATGAGTCTTCTGCTCAGCACTTTTGGGCCAAGACTAAGACAGGATTTGTCCATGAACGTGTTTGTTTTTAGGTCAGGGACTTCAGAGACTCGTGTGTTTAGGGAGGTGATGTTTGATCTGGTATCTGGTTCGGTAGGACCATCATCTGTCGTTAAGGCTTGTGAATCTTTCTTCTTCTCAATCCCTCTTCCCAGCTTTGTTTCACTGATGGAAGGAAAGAAATCCAGCTCTTGGCGAGGGTCTCCTGTTGTGTCAGGTGGAAGGTGATCATCCTGCATTTGTGGCTGCTCTTTAGTGCAAGTGCTGGAGTTGGTGATGTCAGGAACGGTAACGTCTTCCCCTGGCTCTGAAGCTGAGGATGTAAGAGTTGCTTTAGAAAGAGTCTTTTTGATCTGACGCTCCTGAAATATCTGCTCCCATTTTTTCAGTATTCTAGGACTGGCCTCGTAGGTGGTCGGTTTCTGAAGGCTCCGGTTCAGGTTTCTTGGTGTGGATTTTATAATGAGAGGGCTGAGAACTCTACCATCAGGAAGCCTTTTTGGAGGAGTACAAGGAGAACAGACAATAGGTTTAAAGTGGTTGAGTTCTTCCGAGATGCTGTCGTTGCTCTCGGGGCTGATGGATCGCTCTGGTTTGTGCAAGGCTGAGAGAGATGAAACAGGGTTGAGAACCAGGCGTTTCTCTGCCGTCAGGTCTGGGGCGGAGAGGCAACGGTTGTTTTGAGTGGATGATAAAACTCCAACCAAGGGCGTTGACGTGCTGGTGACGGGTGGCACCTGGAAGGTAAGGTACCACAGCTTAAAAAGATTGTCATTGAGGAGAAGATGGACAAACATGCAAGAGGAGAACAGGAGAACGTGAAGCTACCATGCTCAGGTCCTGGAGAGGTCTCTGGAACAGGCATGGCAGACTCTGCTGGTCATGGCACCTTTCATGGGTGATATCTAACATAAGCAGGGGACGCTGGAGTCCAGCATGATCTGGGTCTTAAATTTATTTCAGTGTAAAAGCTGTTATTGCTGTTGGGATAGGGCAAGTGGCAACCAGTCTGATGGCAAAAAGCTTGAAGCAAGACAAGACAAGGAGAAATTGAGAAGCACTGGACCACCCTGGGTGAAGGAAGCCAGGTTCTTCAAGGGAAATCATCACAAAAGGGTTTTTTTCCTCCCTACCAAGCTGTAGGAGATAAAGAATATAAATACTTGGCCCAGGTTTAACACCCTGGGCTACAAAATGTCATGAGAAAAGGTGTGTATGTGCCTGAGGCAGACTGGTAGAACGACCTTGATGAGTGGTTGCAGACCACACCGTGGCCACCACACTGGACACCGCCTAAGACAGGCTCTAGCAGAGCTTAAGAGCATTTCTTGTCATCTTGTCATCTCCAAAACCATCCCTTAATGCTGCTACATCTGGAATGTGAGAGAATCCAGCCACAAATAAATCAGAAATATGGTTTTAATTCTTCTCTTAAGATGAAATGATTTTATCCAGCAGGTGGTTTGAACGATGACAGCCTTTCTGGGCTTAGCCTGAAAGAGAGTTCTTTCTACTAACTGATTTTGAGGTCAAAATAAGTTTGTGGAACACCCTTGTTGTGCAAATCTTAATTGGTCAGGTCCATAAGTCCTGGGAAGGAAGGTCAGTTCTGGACCCTTGATTTGAGCTCAGCTCAGATGGGAAGTGGACCATGGTCATAACCTCAGAGGTGATCACTGGGGTTAACCAAGTGCTCCCAGTGGGGATTTTACCATTTTCCAAGCAACATCCCCCAACCAAATTGACCTTCCAAAGGATTGCAGAGGCTTTTGTTCCCTGTGGGATCACTGGAATTGAAGTATCCCCTTCTCCAGCTGGGATGAATCTCAGCCCAAAAAGGAGGGGTGTCAGCATGAAGAGGTGGAATGTCCTAGCAAGTGGCCCCAGTAGAGCAGTGTTGGAGCTGTTCTAGGCTGAGAACTCACAGATCTCATGATTTAAGCTGCTGCTGCCACTGGCCACCAGGATCCCATGGATCAGAGAGGCACATGGGAAAGGAGGCAGAGAACAGCTTCAGAGACAGAGATTGGTACAAGAGCGAGCGTGCAAAATGTGCTTCTGAGGGGTCAGTGCTGCTACAAGGCGTGGTGCAAGGAAAGGTGTTTGCAAAGGTCATCTCCAAGGAGTGGAAGGTACCCACTGATTAGGTCCACAGAGATGATGAGGGCCTGGAGCATCTCCCGTGTGAGGAGAGGCTGAGAGAGCTGGGACTGTTCAGCCTGGAGAAGAGCAGCCTGAGAGGGGATCTGATCAATGTCTATCAAGATCTGAAATGTGGGGGCCAAATGGATGGGGCCGGGCTCTTCTGGGTGGTGCCCAGTGACAGGACAAGGGGCAATGGGCACAAACTGGGACACCAGAAGTTCCAGACAAACATGAGGAGAAACTTGTTTGCTGTGAGGGTGCCGGAGCCCTGGGACAGGCTGCCCAGAGAGGGTGTGGAGTCTCCATCTCTGGAGATGTTCCAACCCACCTGGACACTTTCCTGTGCTGTAGGGAACCTGCTTTGGCAGGGGGTTGGACTGGATGATCTCCTGAGGTCCTGTGATTCTGTGATTACTACTGGAAGAGCCTGAAAAAACTCCAGCTCAGATTTTCAGTGGTGCTTTGTGATCACCACTCATTTTGAAGCTCTGAGGTGCACTGAAAAGTCAGGCCTATTGCACAAGGTAAAAGATACGGTTAATTCTGAAAGGAGGGTGGAGAGAGGGGGGGGTGGGTCTGGTCAACCAAGGAACAAGGGACAGGACAAGAGGAAATGGGCTCCAGTTGTGGCCAGGGCAGTTGAGATGGGATGTGAGGAAGAATTTCTTTGCTGCAAGGGTTCTGAGGCATTGGAAGGGGTTGCCCAGGGCAGTGGTGGAGTCCCCATCCCTGGAGGGATTGAAGAGTCGTGTAGACACAGTGCTGAGGGACATGGGTTAGTCATAGGGGACTGGTCAGTGTTGGGTTCATGGTTGGACTTGATGAGCTTAAAGGGCTTTTCCAATCCAGGCAATGCTGGGATTCTGTGATTCTGTAAGTCACTTGGTCTGCTGGGTGTGAGGGGAAGCAAGAGCAGACCAGCTCTTCCCACAGCAGGGAAGTACAAAAGAAAGTATCACAGAATCCTATCCGAACATCAGGAGAACAATGAGATTTGCTGTTTCAACAGCTTTGGAAAGAACAGGAGAGAAAAGAGGAGGAAGAGAGAATTTTTTTCCTAAATTTCTCAAACATTTTTCTTTAATCAGCTGGAGATTCAGCTTTGAAAATAAAATTAATTACAAAACAAAAGCATGATGAGTATCCTTCCAACTTCCAATTATCCTCCAGTGCTGAACAAACATCTCTGTAAGCTGTCTGCTTTTCCAATGAGTAATTTCTAACCTAGCAGGTTTTTATTGTGAGCTGCAAGGAAGTGATTGGCCCCATGGTGATAACAAAGCACTAACAGCACCACAAACACAGTATTTTCTATCTCCAGATTCCAGGCTCTGTGTAACCTCAGATAAAACCACTGACACACAGAAACTTTACGTATCCAGACACGAGCAGGTACCTTTGTTTTGTTGGCTGGGGCTGATCTCTGCCTGCTCTTTGATCTCTCCTGAATGGTGTCATTACAACTCCGACTCCTTTCCACCTTGGTGGTGAGGTTCCTGAAAAGCAGATGAGTGAAAAGAGAAGATTGTTCATGACCTTAAAAACAACCAACCCAACAGCCCTGGCAGCAGCTGCCTGTGGGGGAGGCATCCGCCTTGGCAACGCTGCGTTTTAAGAGATGCCTCCTACACCCTGGGGATAAAGGGATCCAGGAATCTTGGATCTGCTGCAGAGCCCTGGTTTGCATTCAACAGCTCCACACTAAACACACAGACACCTCCACTGATAAATAATTGAGGTTGGAGCTAACGATGACACTATGGAAACCTCTGCTCCTTGCAGGGGAAAACACACTTGGTTACTCAGCTGCTTCCACTGCTTCCACTGCAGGAACAACCCCAGGTTCCAGTACAGGC